GAGGAGAGCTTTGCGCAGTCTGTTGACGGCCATCGGGACATGCTGCGTGGAGTCACGGATATGGCAACATCCAGGGCTCGTGCTTCGAAGTATGGTCAGGTGGATGACGTGACTGACGTGCAGTCCGATGCCCCGACTGCAGCAGAGGAGTCTTCGCAAGCTGGTGCTGCGAGAATGCAGTTCGGCATCTTTGACTCGAAGCCTTCGTCGGCTTCGGCGGCAGATAATAAGGGTCCCAAGACCAAGAAGCCACGTGCGAGCAAGATGCCAGCATTCCCGCTACCATCGAACGCCGCTCCTCGGGAGCCATCGCCCTCTCGCAGCATCAACGAGCGGCCAGGTTTCTGTGCACAACCCCTCGGCTTCCGTGCAGTCGATACTGCGGCAGGCAAGGGCAATAAGAAGGCGAAGGAGCTCATCACCAAGGCGACCGAGGCACTCGCGAAGCACAAGGACACCTTCAGCGACAGCAACGTCTGGACGAACAGGACTCGCCGGCGTATCCTTGAGGCGGCCATCAAAAGCCTTTCCAACCTTGCGAACCAGTTGCTCGCCTTGAACACCGACGCCGCCGACAGCTTGAGCCGGGACATCACAGAGTGGGCGGATCGAGCGGAAGTCCGTTTTGATTCGTTGGCCAGGGTGCGGTCAATGACCCTGGACTACGCCGAGATTGAGTCTGTCGCTGAGGAGCATTTGCAGCCCCTGCGAGAGCTTGGTGTGGCCATGCTTTCCAATGTGATCCTCTTCGTGGCCGGTGAGTGCTTGAAGCACATGGAGAAGGTTTGAGCTTAGTGAGATATGCTATGAGATGCTATGGTATGGTTTTAGAGTTTTGGCCCTTACTATAGGCTATAGGCTATAGGTCCCTGTCCCCATTAGTTAAAGACAAAGAGTTAAAGTTAAAGTTAAAGAGTATTGTCATTGTGATCATTTGTTAATACACTCGACTGCACTATCCACCCTATCGATAAAAACACCGCTTAAGCTCTGCCCGTGACACTGGCCTTGTTGTGTTGTATGTTCCTTTGCCAGTCGAGTGCCATGTTGAATTTGCACTTTCTGACTAAACTGTAGTGTACTATATGTTGCTTCATAAGTCAATTCTTTTTCAGTTCGATTAAGTCATGACCCATGAGTTCATGAGTATGTGTTGTATTGCTTACTACTACACTTCATCCTTAAACCTTAAAACTTAAAACTTAAAACTTAAAACT